GATATATACTTTTAAAAGCATCAGGATATTGATGTATAAAAGCTAGAAAATGGTTCTTCAGTATACTGTATCTGCTTTTGAGATCTGTGGAAGAGCATATGAAAAATCAAGGTAGTGATATTACAGTATCTTAACATGGGTTTGTTTCTGTTTTAGGGGAAGAGAAGTTATGATCATGAGTCCTTTCACTCATGATCTCTGTCCCCCTAAGATAAGGTGACCATATTTTAACATTGGTAAAGCGGGACACCATTGATAAAACTCATATCCTGGCAAAACAGCCACATGGCAGCCGAAAACCGTATACCCTAGCTTGTTGTGCATTCTTTCCAAAAATTGGGACTTTTAAAAAATGCTGCGGGACGCAAGGAAATTTGTTAAAAGTCGGAATTATCCCGCCAAAAGCAGGACGTCTGGTCACCCTACCCTGAGAGGATCAGATAAGAAATAGGCTTAAATCAAAGTAGGACATTTCAGTTTTATCTTAAAAAGAAGCTCTTGACTGGCAAAGTAATTAAACAAAGAAACAAGGTACCAAAAACAATATGGTATATAAATGGACTTGACAGTCATCCCAGTTACCTAGCATTGGCAATAAAGTATATTACAGAGTGTTTACTCAGTTGTATCTTATTTTAGATTAGTGTTCTCAGGTGCAAGTGGCTATGTTTAAGTGGAAAGCATCCATATTTATCCATTCTGAAACAGAATTGGTATCTTTTAAAATGTCTAATATTTTTCGATAATATATTTTGTAATCATTCAGTTAGTTAAAAAATTTAGGCCAGGTTAGAAAAGCACAACTGAGGGTATGACAAGTGATCCAAAATTAGTGGCAAGGAGGATGTGAGAGGCCTGGTAGGGATTGATCAAGAGCAATGTAACCGAGAGAAATTACTGAAACCCAAATAAAAGCTGAGCATGCTAGTGGGACAAGAGGAAAGTAAAAGGAAATAGAGGAAAGAACTAGGAGGCAAAGAGCATTTATAGAGGTCTAAATAGACGCATGTACATATGTAAATATATTTATATATGATGATGGTGAAATAGATCTATGTGCATATATTTATAGGCTTACTATTAAGGCAGCAGATGGACATTGGGCCTCCACTCAAGTACTTCCTCAACGCAAGAACACTTTCTTCTATTAAATTGGCATTCCATGCTGCACACCTTCCTGATACGATCGCTGAAGACAAATGAGTGCATAAGCAAACGTGGTGAAGAAATCTGTTGGTGCCACGCTATCAAAAGATATATCATCTGGGGTCTTAAAGACTTGAAAGTAAACAAGTGGCCATTTAGCTCAGAAGCAACATAGCCCACATGGAAGAAGCACACCAGCCTGTGTGACCACGAGGTGTCGAAGGGATCAGGTATCACGCATCACAGAACAAAAAATCTTATCATTGTAAATATGAAGGCGTGCAGATTGGGGACCCAAAACCCATCTGTAGGTAACGGGACATCCCCTTACAGAAGGGTTGCAAGGAGGAGACCAGCCAATCAGGGTACAGTGTAGCAATAATGAAACATACAACTTTCCTCTAATTCTTAAATGCTTCCTCCCCCAACTATCATGATCCCAATTCTACCTTAAAAATCTGGCGAGACCAGAGGACGTACAGATAGGAACCAGAAACACAGAAAATCCAGAACAGATGAACCCCTCAGGACCAGTGGTGATAGTGGCGATACCGGAGGGTGGAGGGAAGGTGGACTAGAAAGGGGGAACCGATTATAAGGATCTACATATAACCTGGAGGACAGACAACAGAAAAGTGGGTGAAGGAAGGGAGACATCGGACAATGTAAGACATGACAAAATAATTTATAAATGATTAAGGGTTCATGAGGAAGGGGGGAGTGGGGAGGGAGGGGGGAAATGAGGAGCTGATAGCAAGGGATTAAGTGGAGAGCAAATGTTTTGAGAATGATGAGGGCAACGAATATACAAATGTGCTTGACACAATGGATGGATGGATGGGTTGTGATAAGAGTTGTATGAGCGCCCATAAAACGATTAAAAAAAGAAAAGCACAACAGAGCCAGAGAGAGAAGCTAAGTGGTAGAAGTAACTTTAGGGGAAACTGAAAAACTGAATGCTTGTTTAGCTTAGGTTTATATACTTTGATGTCTCAGCTGTATTCTTAATCCTTAAGAGTCAGATTCCATGTGTTTATGAATGTGTTTGTAGATGTGTGTGTACATACAAGTAGGTGATTCTTAGTTATCACACTATTTTTATGAGTTCATCTGTGATCTGTCTTCTGTATTAATCTAATCTCTATTGTATTAGTAAATGAGAATATGAAAAATGCTTTTAATTTTTGTATTCCTTTTGACATAGTGTTATCTACTATGTAGGTACATATTAAACAATTTTTTAACCAGAAGCTATTGTTGTTGGGTGTCATCAAGTTGGTTCCAACTCATAGGGACACTATGCACAACAGAACGAAGCACTGCCTGGTTTGGTGCTGTTCTCACAATCAGTGTTGCAGCCACTATGTCAATCCAGGTCCTTGGCCTTCTTCCTCTTTATCTCAGACCTCCAATACCATCGACTCTTGATCATATATTATTACATCTTGAAATAGTTGAATGTTGACCAATTCTTCTTGGTATGTTAATCAATATACATATAAAGAGAGGGTTATGAAGCAAATATGGTAAAATGCTAACAATTGGGGAATTTGGAAATTTCTCCATACAATTCTGGTAACTTGTTCTGTACCCTTAAAAATAATTTTTTTTTAAGTTATTTTCAAAGAAATTAGTTCAAAAAGCTAGGAATTAATTCCAAAGATATTCAAAATCATTTAAATACTTCTGTTTTATAGTATCCGGGAAAGTGTAAAGCATATTAATTTGAGTATCTTTAATGATGGCAGACTATCATTCATTTTAATAAGACCTAATCCTTCGAAAATAAAAACTTTAATTGGAGTCATTCTGAGAACTAAGATAGGAAATACTAACTAGGTAATACTACGAAATAATAAAAAGGAGCTCTGATAGCACTGTCAAGTTAAGCCTTGGACTCCTAACTTACAAGGTTAATGGTTTAAACCCATCAGTGGCTCCATGGTAGAAAGTTCAGGGCAACTGTCCGTGTAAAGATTATAACCTTTATTATTTATTTTTAATTTTTATTTTTTTAGATTATACCCTTTAAAACCTTATACAGGGTCACTACGGTTTGGAATCAACTCAATGGCAATGGCTTTTTTGGGGGGATAAAGACATAAAGCTATCTTGTTAGTGATCCGGTTGTGACATGACAATTTAAAAGTTACTCCAAACAGTCTGATCAATGAAAGGAATGGTAGAATAAATGATAAACTATCTAAGATGATTACTTAGAATGATAACACTCCTAAGTACTAGTAATGTTTGGGCAGTTTGTATTTTGTTCTGATACTCATATAAGAACATCCTTTTTAAAATATCTCTCTACATTATTCCTTATAAATATTAACTTATATGCTTATAAGGAAAATAATAGTGTAGCAATAAAGAGTAAAGACATTAAAATCAAATAGGCTTGGGAGTCAACTCCAGTATTGCCTGTTTCTAGATAGTAACACTTTGGACAAATTAACCTTTGTATAGATCAGTTTATTTTCCTGTAAAATGAGAACTGCAAAAGACATAATGTCTGTAAAGGCCTTGCACTTAACAAGGACTAAATAAATGCAAACTGTTTTAGTTTTATTATGAGTAACAGTAATAAGAAGAGCCAATGATGTTTAATATTTACTAGATCCAATGGATTTTAAAAATGAATTAAAAGATTCAGTATAACAATAATGAAACCCACAACCTTCCTCTAGTTCTTAAACGCTTCCTCCCCCCAACTACCAGGACCCCAATTCTGCCTTGCAGATCTGGCTAGACCAGATGATGCACAGCGGTACAGATGGGAATTGGAAACGCAGGGAATCTAGGACAGATGAACCACTCAGGACCAGGGGTGACAGTGGCGGTACCAGGAGGGAAGGGGGGTGTAGAAAGGGGGAATTGGATCACAGAGAGCTACATATAACCTCCTCTCTGGGGGATGGGCAACAGAGGGTTAGGTGAAGGGAGACGCCGGGCAGTGTAACATAAGATATAATAATAATTTATAAATTATCAAGGGTACATGGGGGAGGGGGGCAGAAGAAGGGGGGGGTAGGAAAATGAGCTGATTCCGGGAACCCAAGAGGCAAGCGAATTTTGGGAATGATGAGGGCAACAAATGTATAGATGTGCTCTACACAATTGATCTATGTATTGTGATGAATTTTATGAGCCCCAATATATTGATTAAAAAAAAAAAACAGTCTGGGGCAATCTGTCTATCTTACCAAATTGCTGTGTGTCAGAATCTACTGTAAGGCAGCTGATTTGGTTTGGTTTAATAAGTGTAAGAAGATACAATTTGGATTTCAAAGACTTAGTACAAATAAGAATATGTAAAATATCTCGTGAATATATACTGAAGACACACTGGATTAAATATATTATTTAAATGAAAAAAAAATGAGTTAAATAATGCAGCTATAAAAAGGATTATTGTGAGACAAAGAAATATAATCGTTATAAAGATAAAAAGAGCACATCTATTTTGAGGAAATCAGAAAGACTTCGGGGACTTCAAGAGGAAGGCAGAATCTGACCTGAGCCCTGAAGTACAAATACGTTTCTCAAATAATAGCAGATGATGAGAGATGGAGAGAAGAAAAATGAAGTGGAGGGAAATGTGCAAATTTTAAGAGTATGAGGTAATGTGTCCTCTGGATATACCAGAGGAGTTACATAAGCAAACAGGAAAAAAGCCAAAATGAGGACAACACAGCCAAGACCCCGAAGCTCCGGTTAAGGAATCTGGCCTTGATGTATTCACCACTGGTAAATCACCAAAGGAGTCAATAGGAAATTACATGGCTGGAAATGTTCTTATTTAAAACCCATGACAGAGTGAAAATGAGAATTGATCTTTAACTATGTCTTACTTTGGGCCAGCTGACATCACTGGGCAACTCTCCTCTGTACAGAAATCCGTAATGGTTCCATAGAGCATGTTAATCTGATTGAAGAAATCCACAGCTGCAAAGAAGATAGAAGGTATTGATAAAACAAAATGGTTAAAATAAGAAGTTTTACTCAAGCATAATCTTTAGGTTATAGGAATCCTTTTCTCAAAGAGGAACAGTGATAAACACACTGAAGAGTCAGAATGGGAATCAGCAGCACCAACAATATACACTGCCTTGAACTGGCACTTCAGAAAAGAGACTGCTAGACTGTCAAAAACATGAAAGCATGCTCAACTTCATCAGCAATCACAGAACTGTACATTAAAATGATAGTGGAGTGTCATTCAATAGTCACCCAAATGGTTAAAACTTTACCTAAAGATGCAAATGGCCAAGAATATCCAATTGACTCAGAATAAAGTAGATGTATAACATTATCAAGACTTAAAAATTACAATAAATAAAAAAGTATGGTCTTAGTAGACTGTGTTAGTAAAACAAATTCATAGAAACTCGTGTGTAAAAGAGAGAAGAGTTTTATATAAAGGGTAATTATTGTACATTAAGAAAGCATCCCAACCCAGTCCAGTCCAAGCCCATAAGTCCGATATTAGCCCATATCTGATACCACTCTATAAAGTCCTCTTGAGACTCACAAAACACATACAATGACGCTGAATGCAGGATCTACTCAAGCCAGTGAGTAGAAAGTCTTTAGATCCAGTGGTGTTGTAAGCATCTCAGAGCTGGCAAGGGGTCTCCACCTGGCTTCTTCAGTTCCCAGGGCACTGGATCTATCAGCATGGTGCCATGTGTCTTGTCAGTAGAGAGTTTCCAAGGGAATGAGGCAAGAGAATTTCTGCCACCTCCAAGGAAGAAATTCAGGAATTCCCAGAATTCTCAGGAGAAGGCCATGACCACACAGAGGCCTCATTGGCTATGATCCGATTGACATACTAGACCCCCCCCTTCACTCTTAATCCTCGCAAGTCCTAAATTGACATCAGATTATGTAACTACCACATAGACCAATGAAACATACTAGATTAGATGTAAGCAAAGATAAAATACTTGATTTATACAAGGTTTTCATCTCTGTATTTGTTTCTGGGAGCAAGACATCACTGTAGGGCAATGGGCAAGTCTTCTCAATATACAACAGTGGGTCAAGTGGTTATCTCTATTTCATAAAAAAAGCAAACACTTGACTTTACTCATACCATACACAAAAATCTATTACATACTCTACAGCTACATGTGAAGTTATTTCTAATAAATAGCATAGAAAGATATTTTCATGATCTATGACATGAATACTCACAGTAGCATTTAAGTCCATGGTCCCAAAATGTTTTTGTTTTGTTTCGTTTTGTTTTGTTTTAAGGGAAAACACCTCTAGAGTTACTGTAGCAAAGGCTGCCCTACAAAAAATTCTTTGAGAAACCTAGCCTATCTACCCTACAATCCTAACCTCGTCCCTGATTTCTCAAACTCAAAGAGCACTTAAAAGGATGATATTTGGGTCCTTCAAGAATGCCTTAACTGCTGTTTTAACCTGTCAAAACTGAAGAGCACAGAATTCTAAGGGAGGGGATAGAGAGAGGGAAACACCACCTTCAGGAGACAGGTCTCCACTTCTGCACCGCCCCCCCCCCCAAAAAAAAGACCCATTGTTTTTGTTATATTGAAAGACAAAAGCCAGTGCGTATGACCTCAGCTATTCGTGATGCCTCGATGGAAGCCCCACATGACAGAACATGGCCTATTCGCATAGTTGTTATAACAGTAGTCAATCAAGCAGACCAGTATTTGGTGAACAGCAGTTTCTTACTCAGAAGTATACAAAAGCATTTAAAAAGTAAGCTTTTGATCACCGTGCCATATTCAAGGCATTTAAATGTTACTGCAACTGTAACTTTTAAAATGGAGAATAAAAGCATTTCCTACTAGCAGTAGTTAGCAAATGGGTCATTAACAATTCAACTGAAGGCAGCACATCTGGCAGTTCCGACATCACTAGAAGAGCTACATACACAGGTTTGCCTTGGAGGCTTTTAAAAGACCCTGTTATAGAAAAAATAGTACCTAGTGGGAAAATAAAACCCCACTGGGCACGTGGAGTATACTCTTCCAAACAATAGCACAGTGAAACTCAGAATGCTTGCAAAACCTATTGTATAATACCACTGCACATAAGTAAATGCTATACAGCACACCATATCTCATTATTACATATATGTAATACCTCTCATCTTGATGCATGATGTCTAAGTATATTAAAGTTTAGTTATATGTTTTCATTTTGTAGTCACTTGTGAAAAAATAGCCAGTTGCACAGCATGATGTTGGCTTGACATAACTTGTCAGCAAAGGATTAAAATCATATGTAAATTCAAAACTTTACATATTGTGAATTGAACCATAGTGAAGTAAAATATACTATATGAATGGCTCCTCTGTCCGTGTCTTTGCAATTCCCACTAATGACTGAGTGGGACCATACAAACAGTGGGCAAAACACTAATAGAGTGGATTGGTCAGTTTTGACATTCCACTGTGTATATAAGACCAAGTCATCTCGGAAGCAGTTAGAGCGATTCTGTGACCATCTGCTTTCTTTTCGAATGGGGTTTTTCTGTTCTATCATTGTTGGTTTTTGTTTGCTTCCTGTGTTTTGTATGCCTTTCTGCATACGAGATCCAAGATAGATAAATCTCTAGAGACCTGGGGGCATGGCAGGGAGGCTGGTAGGAAATGGGGACCTAACAAGAAGAAAATGCTCTGACACTGACTTTGGTGATGAATATACAATTCTTCTGAATATGAATAACTGATCAAATTGTTTGATAGGCAAATGATTTTGAAGTAAAGATGAGCCACCAGTGGAGCAAGCTTGAGATCCCTGCGGAAAGTGGTGGAGGCACCAAGAAAGCACACTGCTGGGATCATGAGACTGTGAAGTGCAGGGAACAAAGCAGATGCTAAGGGACCACGTGACTAAGGGGCTGAGGGCCAGAGACAGAGGTGGCTGCTGGCTGAGACAAGGTGCTGATGAATGAAAGCCACTTATCCTTACTCTTTTCTGATCCTGATTTGTGACAAACTGTTAACGTCCCTAATAAAATCCTCATAATTGTGAGTACTGTCTAGTTCTGTGTGGCCACTGTGAGGGGCTATGAACCCCAGCAGAAGAGCGGAGTATGAGGAGGAATCGCTGCAGAATAGGGTGAAGGAACAATGGGGTGTGGCAGCACGTCTCGTGATATCAGCTTCTTCAGGGAGGTATCCAGGGGAATTTCCTTCTTCCTTGTGTGGGCAGAGAAATTCAGATGTGGCCTCCCTGCTATTTCTTCAGCCATTTACCATTTAAAATTCTCTTTCTTAATACTTTTCACCTTGGTATCTACTGTGATAATAACATAACAGTTCCAGATTTTTTTTTTTTGGTAGGGTGTCAATTTTGTTTTTAAAATTTAATCTCCCAGTGTCAGCAAATTTAGAGTATGTCTCTTGAATTGTTCCTTGGTCCCCCCCCCCCCACTATCATGATCCCAATTCTATCTTACATATCCGGCTGAACTGGAGGATGTACGCTGGCACAGATAGGAACTGGAAATACAGGGAATCCAGGACAGATGAACCCCTCAGGACCAGTGGTGAATGTGGCGGTATCGGGAGGGTGGAGGGAAGGTGAGGGAGAAAGGAGGAACAGATTACAAGGTCTACATATAACCTCCTCCCTGGGGAACAGATAGCAGAGAAGTGGGTGAGGGAGGTGTCGGATGGTGTAAGGTATGATAAAATAATAATAATTTCTAAACTATCAAGGGTTCAGGAGGGAGGGGGGAGCGAGGGGAAAAAATGAGAAGCTGATACCAAGGGCTCAAGTAGAAAGCAGGTGTTTTCAGGACAATGGCAACATATGTACAAATGTGCTGGACACAATTGATCTATGCATGGATTGTGGTAAGAGTTGTATGAGCCCCTAATAAAATGATTTAAAAAAACAAAGCAAACAGGAATATGTGAACGGAACCTAAATGTTTTCAGATATAATAAAAGTTGTTGCTCTTTTAATTATAGCCCAAAGCTATAACTAAAAAAAAAAAAATGTGCTGGAAAAACTCAACTTATACTTGAGTATATATGGTATGACTTTCTTTTTTTTCTTTTCCCAAACGCATCTTTTAAGTTTTTCCAAAAGGGCAGTATAAGTTGTTGTGGATGTGTGGGGTAAAGAATTTAACCACAACACAAAGATTCTGCTCTTTGTCCTAGGTTCCTCAGAGACAGCCTGTAAAACCTTGGCAGTGCCCCAAGGTAAAAGTGTCTTTTACCTATACAGGCTCTAAAGCGAGAGGTTACACTAATGAGTCGACTCAGGTGAGGCAGGCTGGCCCTGCCAGAAAGACCTACTTCCTGACAGCAGCTTACCTCAGGGGTGGTGGCATGATTTCATCAATCATGTCTACCTAAGGCAGCTCCAATAAAGGTTTAGACATGGAAGCTCCATGAGATTCCTGTCTGGCAAAAGATAACTGTTTATGAAAATAATTCATCAAGGGTTTACAAGGGTGGAAGGGTGGGGGGAGCAGGGAAAAAAAAGAGGAGCTTAAACCAAGGGCTCAAGTGGATAGACAATGTTTTAAAAGGATGATGGCAACATATGTACAAATGTGCTTGATACAATTGATGGATGGATGGTTATAAGAGTTGTAAGAGCCTCCAAGAAAATGATTTTTTTAAAAAAGATATCTATTCTCAGAAGGATGATACATTCTTTTTAGGGTACAGTAGCTTCATACTAAGGACCTTTCAGACCCCTCTTTTAGGCCCTCTTCTTGGTGTTGGTCCCAATTTATATTATTTTAATAAAATTATAATTGCTAAGTATATTTGTTTTCCTGCGTTCTGTGAGTTCTTTTAGACAATCGTCCAACCTGAGGGAGTAAGGGACTTCACATATCAAAAGTGAGGAGGGATCTTGGGAGCCTCTGGGCTTATAGATCTTATATTGAGGGCAGAGATAAAAACAAAACAAAACAAAAACTCACCCCACCAGGTCAACGTTAATTCATAGGGACTGAGTAGAACTGTCTCAATGGGTTTCTGAGACTATAACTCTTCATGGAAGTAGACAGCCTTATCTTTCTCCTGCAGAGAGGCTGGTGGCTTTGAACTGCTGACCTTGTGCTTAGTAGCCCAATGTGGAACTACTATGCCACCAGGGCTCCTCTGAGGGGAGAGGGGACATCTAAATTTATAGTTAGGCATTTAGAGGGATGAGGGATGCTGGTGTTGTGCCTGTACGTATACTGAGAACCCCTCCCCCACCCCCACACCCCCACCCCTAACCGCAAAGCAAAAATAAACAAAACAGCTCAGAAATGAAGGCATCTGGAGGACTGCGACCTGTCCCGTACAATCTGGCCTACCTCTGATGACTTGAGTCAGAAGTACTCAACTGCATCTGCAGTGGAACAGTCCTTAATAGATGGACTGACTGCAACTGAGCTTTACAGGAAGCAAATAGCTTCCCTCTGTGCCCTTTATGATATAAAACAAAAAGAATACAATTAACTCAAGGAAACCCCAAGGAGTGTTCAAGCATTGAAATCTATGTAGCTAGATGATAATACCCTTCTGCCTACACTCTTCTGGATAAAAACAGATCTTTAAAATTTTTAAGTATAAACAGGGAGTAATTTTTCATATGGTGACTTTGAGTTCCACCCCATTCATTCCTAAAAAAGCAATTCTAAGTAAACTTTTTATCTTGTTAATTACCCACAGGCAACAAACACTATGCCGTTTTAATTCAGACTTTCCAGGACAGCATGAAAAATAAAATTACTTTTAAAGGAGTCAAAGTTAATTGCTGATAAAAGTGGAACAGCAATGAGCAGAACAGCAACTAAATCAATCCTAAAAGTCTCCCCTGCCCTCACTCCCAATGAGTCAAGCCTTTCTAAGCAACGACTTTGTAATAACAATTCTCAAGTTGTCTCCAGATGACACAGAGGGAAACCTATGACTTTTGAATAAGCAGATCTTAACTCTCAATCCTACACATCCTAGTTTACTTACCTAAAATTCCCCGAACCTATGATTGGCTTTATTAAGGACTGAAAAAAAGAATATTTTTTAAGTGCCTGCGATAAAGTAGGCGTTTAGTAAGTCTGAGTTCCCATCTCCAAACAATATATGGCCTCAGGACTATGTGCCACATAAATTATTTATAAACCATCCACCCTGTTTTTTCCAAAACTCTGAAGCATCTTTTTGTCTTCATTAAGCATAATGTTCAAATCCAGGATACCTATATTCTGGCTGTGGAAACAGTTGCTGAATATCTAAAATATTTTCCATTTTCTACCATTTCTCTTCATCTGGCAAATGTACTGAAGCCAAAAGGCCATTAAGATGCCAATCCTATCAATAAATTCTCTTCACTCTTTTATGCACTCAAAATATTTCTCACTACATCAAGTGTCATCTGGGACTACTGCCATAAAAGAAGAGCACTTCAGAGGATAGCACAATCAAATGTTACAATTTCAAGACAGAATTCCACATTCTAAGGAGATGCTATAATGTTCTAATCCAAAGCAATCTTTGAAATAGGAATATGGAATGCTCGTGAACTTCTAAAGTTCTCAAAATTCTTGGAGTTTCAGTAGTACAGACACAGTTCTCACAATTGAGACGGAAAGGAAAAGGAGACAGAAAATGGTCATCTCCTTTTGTACGTGAAAGCTTGAAGTGCATGCAGTTCTTTAAAAGCTCTGCACTGCGTTCCTTAGGTTTTTAAGATGACCAGATCAAACAAGCGGTCCTAAAAGGCATATATATGCAAGAACAACAAAACAAAAAGACTATTTATACACACTGGAAATTTATTCTAACCACTGTCTTTGAGGTGCTACCAAAAACAAATCCACTACCATCAAGTACACTGAGACTCTATAGGGCAGAGCAGAAATACTCTTTAGGGTTTCAGAGACTAAAAATTGTTCTCCCATGGTTTTGAACCACCAACCTGTGGGTAAGCAGATCAATGGTTAACCCCACAGAACCACCTTTTAAGTAAAATGGATCTCATTAATAAAGCAAACAAAGCACTTCCTTTCTTTGGTAACCTAAACTTTATGGAGCCAAAGAAGATATCCACATTAATAGTAAGTATTATTCTTTTATAAATGCTGTCACATGACAGTTTTAAAACATCAATCAAAAAAAATTCAAACAAACATATTAATTCTCCTACGTTTCCAAAAGTTATCAGCAGGTGGTAGCATAATTCACAAAACCCATGATATACTTAAAATAACAATAAGATGCTACCAATTACAAGAAAAATATGGTTTCACTTTCCCTCAATCAAAACATAAACACTGACCCTGGAGAACACTGGGGCATTGAATCAAGGTGCACAGCATGCTCCAAAGGCCATTCCAGAGGGATCCATTCCAGAAACCCCACTAGGTGAACTAGACTCTACCTCAAACACACCTGTAATCTGAGGACTTAAGACTGAAATTAGTGTGTAAAGGAGCAAAAGAGAGCTACACCATGAGCACTGAACTGTCGGTAGGTGGACCAACACTGACTTACTATTTCAATGCATAACTTGCTGTTTATTATTCCAGCAGACTTGTGATTGACAGTGTCAGTGAATATTATTTTAAGTTTAGCCCAAGAACCAACTCCCATTGTTTGTGTAAATAGCATCGAGTCATATAAGATTTATTCTATTCTAGTGAATAATTCAGGTATTGCATTCTGCAGTTAGCCTACACTTATTCATTCTCCCTCTCTCAATAGTGTTTTAAATATTAGTTATCTATGCTTTTCATTGTATTTATTTATGTATGAATTTATTACCCAATTTATTGAGTTGAGTTAATTTCAACTTATAGCAACCCTATAAGTTGCCTTAGGTGATCCATTTATTTAAACAGTTTTATTTGCATTCACTCATGTACCATATAAGTCAATGATTTAAATATATTTTAAAGGGGCATATATTCATTTTAAAAATATTTCATGTTCTAATTTTTTTACTTCCATTTACCTAATTTTCCTCCTCTCAAACTTTTTGTTTCTGCTTTAAAATAGACATTGACCCATATATATATGGTATGTGCATGTGTATACATGAACATGTAATTTATGTATATTTTTAAAGTAACATAATATTCAAGGGTGATAATCTTCACTCTTGGGGTTAAACTGTGGTTACACGCTGGGTTGGTAACTGCAAGGTCAGCAGTTTGAAACTACCAGCTGCTCCAAAGGAGAAAGATGAAGCTTTCTACTGCTGTGAAAAGTCACCATCTTGTAAACCCACAGGGGCAATTCTACCATGTCCTAGAGTTGCTATGAATTTTTGGTTTAAACTAACTGTCCATAGCAGAGCAGCTGGTGAGTTCAAACCACCAACTCTTCAGTTAGCACTCTTAGCACCATGCCACCAGTTATGCATTGAAGAAATTCGTAACATTACATTTTCATATATAAAATAACAGTGGCTAAAATTGGGATGAGACATCATTATATTGTGATATTAGGTTGCTAACTCAATCCTAAACAGTACTCCAGTACTACCAACAGTGAGGTCCTTGACCTAATTCAGAATCTATTGAAATGAAATGGTCACTTACTGTTGACTGCAACCCACTCATTTAGATCTTCCCCCTCAGGAAGCATGACAGCCATCCGGAGATTGCCACTGCCAAGTGTGGCTTCTGCATGTTTTAAAAGTTCGTATTGGTGAGAACCCTCTGGAATGTTCTTCTTTGGCTTAAAAGTTTTAGACGAGCGACTACCACTGTGAATAAGAGAAAGGTATTTCAATATTTAATGCATGACTTTAACAGTCTAATATATTATGAGATAAATTAAACAGAAGCAATGGTGAATATCCTCAAATAAACAACAAATATACCTCCAGCCCCCCATTAGCATTAGACCTAAACTGTATAAACTGAATCCTAGCAAATTAACTGTGGCAATTACAGCGCTCAATACCTAAGACTTTCTCTGTATTCAAAACCTAAAAGTCTTCTCTACATTCCCTACTACATAGTGAAAAATATTTTTAGCAACCTATCACTAATGGCTTTTCACATAGTGATTCATGACTACAGATTGTAATATATAAAAACAAAAATACTTCCATGATGTTTTCTATTTATTTTCTATCCTTTTTACCTCTATGTCTTTTATACTAATAAAAATAAAACGCAATTTACTTCTCATAGGAAGCATAAAGATAAGAAAGCACACACACAAACCCAACAGCAAGAAATTACATGTTCTTCTTCCCAATTATAAGCAGCACCAACAAGCTTAATCCTGAAATTCTTAGTTACGTATACAAGTAGTTAAACATCACTATGGTTGCTTTGCTCAAATTTCTGAACATTTTTATGTATTTTAACTACAAATACACACAATATTGAAACTAAGCTTACAACTGGTTTGAACAGCTCCTTAAGCCATGACTTTTTCGATTGTGCTGGCACATTATCAAATTGTATTATTATCTTAGACGTTTCTTCTAAGTACTCCCTTTCTTCTCTTATGAAAAACAGGCATGAGTGATTATCCATTGGGCTACTAACAAGATTAGTAGTTCAAAGCCACACCTGCACCAGGGAGAAAGACAAGGCTTTCTACGTCACAAAGAGCTGGTCCTGGAAACCCCCCCATGGCCGTTCTTCCCTGCCCTAAACAGGGCACAATGCGCCAGGGAAGACTCCACGGCATGGAGGGTTTTGCTGGTTTGGGTTAAACAGGAACTCTTTATAAAGTTTCATGACACTAAAATTTTACCACCGAAAGGATCCAGACACTTTCATTTTCAAAAAGAGAATAAAACAATAGTTATACTTTCCAACTTCACCAGAGCTTTTCTCTCACTAGCTCCTTCTCTCCGTTCCTTAGTGGATATTTTTAACAAGATGAAGAGATGGATTTCTTGAGGAGTGGGGTGTTTTTTTTTTGTATTGAGAAAGACTATAATGGAAGACCACCTTTACATCTAAGACGGCTACAAAAAAGAGGCCAAGCAACAAGTGTTGGTGAGGATGAGGAGAAACTAGGACTCATGCATTACTGATGGAAACCTGAATCAGAGGAAAACAATTTGCTGTGTCCACCAAAAGTGAAATACAAAATCACCATGAATCAGAAATTCTCTTCCTAGATATACACAACACATAACTGAAAACAAGTAATCAAACATATACTTGTATAATAATGTTCACAGTACCTTATTCAATAAACAATAACCAAGGGTGAAAATAACCCGAATGTCTATCAATAGATGAATGGATAAACAAAATGTGGTAGACAGATAAAAGAGAATAGTATTCAGCCATATAAAAGAAGTCCTGATTCACGCAAGCACATGAATGAACCAAGAACACATTACCCACCCACCCACAAAACTGCAAACCCAATGCCGCTGAGTAGATTCTGATTCATAGCAACCCCAAATAGGGTTTCCCAGAACATGAATCGTTACAGGAGCAGGCAGCCTTATCTTTCTCCCAAGGAGCAGCTGATGGATTTGTAGAGCTGAATTTGTAGCTAACAGCCCGATACTTATCCCTCAGTGTCATCATGGTAAGTGAAATAAAGCAGGCACGTGTACAAACAAAACAGATTTTGAATAGCTTCACTTACATAACATAGCTACAGTACCAAATTCAGAAAGATCAGAGGTTACTAGAGGCTGGAGGTACTGGCACTCTGAACGCATTCAGAGGTGCAGTAGAAGAAACCTCTACAAACTGATTTTGAAAGACCCCATCCATGAAAACGATGGCACACAGTTCTCCAGTGCAACATGCTGAGTCAACGAGAGTCAGAGATTACTGGACAGTAAATAGGCTGTGAGGGAAGGGAAGGCGAAGTTAATGGATACAGAGTTTCTGGTGGGATGATAAAAAACTTTTGGAGGAAAAAAACAAACTTTTGGAAATAGTTATAAAGGCACAAGGTTGTGAATGCAATTGACGCCACTAAATTGCACACTTACAATGTCTTACAGCACCGGGGAAGCACCGCAGATGCTGCTGTCGCTGAAGCATAAGCAGCTACCTCATGGAATTGGTTCTCTCGGTTGCGAGGGCTCAAGGCCATAGTCTTGTGGGACAGTTCAGTCAATTGACATAACTTAGTTCTTAGTTTGTTGTACCACCTCATATGGTAAGTAGTGTCTGTGAACCAGTGGGGAGAGTGGCTATACCGGGAGTGTAGAGGGAGGGTGGGGTAGAAAGGGGGAACCGATTACAGGGATCTACATATGACCCTCTCCATGGGGGACGGACAACAGAAAAGTGGGTGAAGGGAGACGTTGGACATTGTAAGACATGACAAAATAATAATGATTTATAAATTATCAAGGGTTCATGAGGGAGGGGGTGGCAGGGAAGGAGGCGAAAAAATGAGGAGTGGATACCAAGGACTCAAGTAGAAAGCAAGTGTTTTGAGAATGATGGAAACAAATGTACAAATGTGCTTGACACAATGGATGGATGTATGGATTGTGATAAGAGTTGTATGAGCCCCCAATAAACTGACTAAAAAAGAAAAAGAGCTGTAAGAGCCCCCAATAAAATGTTTATAAAAAGACCTAGAATTAGAAAACCAAAAGGGAAGAACACACTCAGCATATCTGACATTGAAATTACTCAAGAACGAAATTAAAGCCTTGAGTTTCAATCTTGAAAGATTCCGTGGACAAAATATTGAATGATGCAAGAAGCATCAAAAGAAGATGACAAGAGTACACAGTCATGCACCCAAAAGATGACATTCCACCACTTTAAGGGATAGCACATGAACAAGAACCAATGATGCTAAAGGAAGAAGTTCAAATTGCACCGCAGGCATTAGCCAAGAACAAGGGTCCAGGAATTGATGGCACACCAATTGAAATGTTTTAACAAGCTGAAGAAGCACTGGAAGCACTCAATTGTCTGTTTCAGGAAATTTGGAAGACAACTACTTGGCCAAATGACTGGAAGAGATCCCTATTTGTATCCATTCCAAAGAAAGGTGACCCAGCAGGATCAAGTGTAGGGGTCTGCTTTGATAGCCCCCATGTATTGTTCCAGGGTCTCCCAGGGGTTGGTATCTCCCACATGGGGAAACACGGATCTAGGGTTGTTCTGAATCGAAATCTACTGGATGGCAGTGGATTGTTTAAATCTTTCTTTCTGTCTTCCTTTTTGGGGCGATACTTTTGTGAATGAAATTTGTTACCAGAATTCTGTCTTCTCCACATCTGTTTTACTTGGGGGTGCGTGGGGGTAGGAGAACGTACATACTGGTGAGTAATAAGAGTTTGGCGCCAACGGAACACAGATTTAGTTCCTGGCTCTTCCATTTAATATTTCCATAACTTTGAGCAAGTTTCTTACCTTCCCTAAGATTCAATTTCCTTTGCAAAATAATAAAATGTATTTTATTACAGAAGTGTTATGACTAATAAAAGCAGCAGCATATAGACAAGAAAAAAAGCCTATGAATGTCCATCTAAGATACAACTACTGATAGTTGTCCTCTACAACAAAAGGGAAAGAAGGAAACCAAAGAATCCTAGAAGAAACTGCACTGTAGGATTGCCTGAAGTTTCCCATAATCAGGGGGAGGGGGGACTGGAATGATCTAGAAGGGCTGCAAAAGCAGATACCTACCTACACTTTATCCTTGATTATGGGCTACAGTACAAAAATGTGCAATTGTCGGGGAGTGGGGTGGGGGTGTGATGTTTTTTCTGAAAGAGAATGATAAGCCAATGAAATTTGAGAACTATCCCCTCTTCACGAAAAGAATTACCCAGCACCCCCTGGCAATTAAGCGTTTGTACTATAGCCCATAAACCACAATAAAGTACAGATAACTGCTTTTGTAGGCCCCGTGGATTATTCCAACACCTGGGGGCGGGGGGAGTATCAACCACTTTGGAAAATGCTGGTCTACATGAGGATGAACCCTGGTGGCAGAGTGGTTAAGTGTTGAGTTTCAATCCACAAGGTCAGCAAATTGAAACCACCAGCATCTCTGAGGAAGAAAGACACGGCTTTTTACTCCCATAGCAATGAGAGTCTCCGAACCTCAAAGGGGCCATTCTACCCTATTGTACAGGGTCATTGGACTAGAGGAGAGGGAGCTGTGGTTTTTTTTTTTCTCTTCTTTTTGTCTCAAGGAACAACTGCCCCTTACACCTTGCAACCAGAAGGACTAGATGCCCAGCTACCACTACTGAATATTTTAATTCAGAAAATACAGAAATCATGAAAAAATAGGAGAAAATATGAACTAGAATTTCATTTTTTTAAATCATCTTATTGGGGGTTTAAACATGGAATACATACATACATGTGTAAAGAACATTTGTACATATGTTGTGATCATAATTCTCAAAACATTTTCTTTCTACTTGAACCCTCGGTAAAGAATTCAGGCTCACTGGACACCTATTAAATCTAGAGGTACCACTGAGACCACTGGCCTGGATTACTCTTCAAATCATGAAGAGTAAGTCACCTTTAAACAGTTTAGCCCTTGAAACAAAGGTTGCCACCCCTTATTATTACTTTAAAAAGAAAATTATATATATAAGACTAAAGGACAACACCTTATTTTCAAGCACAGATGAAAAGGTTGAGGGGAAGGAAGATTAAGTATATCAAACAACTAAAGCATGAAATCTTTTTTAAAAAACGAACCTAAGCCTTAGGGGTTTTCCAACTATAAAATGAGGACACTAACAGTATTCTCATAACAGTATCAGGAAAGTGCAGTCCCTGGAGG